ATGACGGCTTTAATAGTGTCCGCTTCTGATATTAATTCAAGTTTAAATGGCAGATCACTTCCTAAATATGAGGAAATCATGGATTATCAAAATGTAAGTACATTTTTACTTAGCCACTGTGTGTTAGTGCGTAAATGCGGGAATGCACTTTCTTTTGCTCCAAGATGTCACTTGCAGTGAGGACAAGAGTGTTAAATTGTCATGTAGAGTCTGTGTTTTTATATGCATGTGAGACATGGACAATAAATGGACATGCTGAAAAATTTATTAGCAGTTGATCTTCATTTGTTTTTTAATAGAAAAATGCAAAGATCATTCGTGGAATGATCGACAAACTGAAGCGACAGCAGCCCTCCAGACAGAGTCTAGGCGTTTTAAGTGGTCAGAGAAAGTCCTTGTAGACTCAGAGAAAGTCGTTGTAGCTCATAGAAAGTCTTTGTAGGCTCAGAGAAAGTCGTTGTAGACTCGGAGAAAGTCCTTGTAAACTCAGAGAAAGTCGTTGTAGACTCGGTGGATTTCGGACATGTTATCATAAGGAATGGAATCAAGAACAACTGGCAAGACTGATGGTGAGAGAGCCAGGGAAGGGCAAAAGAGTTAAAAATGGTTTAGCTATACAGCAGCGACGAGACAAGAGCAGTGACTTGATCCGTGATTCTGGTGATCTTTTAAGGTGGCGAAACGTAACAGCTACTCTCAGTTGCCCAGCACTTGATGATGATAATAGTGATTTTTTTTCCAAGTGCATAGTCTGACGGCATGGGCGATCAGGACTTGGCAATCTTGTCGACCTTCTGATATGTTGAAGATAGTTTTGCTTATATCATAACGCGTTTTCATCTGTTATACGCTACCATAACTTGTTGCTCATCTGTTGTTGCTCAGCTGTTATAACGTGTTGCTCAGCTGTTATAACGTGTTGCTCAGCTGTTATAACATGTTGCTCAGCTGTTATAACGTGTTGCTCAGCTGTTATAACGTGTTGCTCAGCTGTTATAACGTGTTGCTCAGCTGTTATAACGTGTTGCTCAGCTGTTATAACGTGTTGCTCAGTTGTTATAACGTGTTGCTCAGTTGTTATAACGTGTTGCTCAGCTGTTACAAACTGTTATATAACGTGTTTGCTCACCATGTCTTTATTACTTCATCGTGGATTACAGTACATATTCGTTAGACCTGATTGTACTGATTATCTACCACAAGACAATATCTAGGATATTTCGTTACAGGTTCTTCTTCTTCTTCTTCTTCTTCTTCTTCCTCTTCTTCTTCTTCTTCTTCTTCTTCTTCTTCTTCTTCTTCTTCTTCTTCTTCTTCTTCTGCCTTCATGCTTCTTCTTCATCTGCTTATTCTTTCATGCTTCTTCTTCTTCTTCTTCTTCGTCGTCGTCGTCGTCATCTTCTTCTTCTTCTTCTTCTTCTTCGTCGTCGTCGTCGTCGTCATCATCTTCTTTTTTTTTCTTCGCGTTCACCGGTTGTAAAGTGCATCTGAAAGTGCTGGTTGTTCGTCCACTTCTGGGCTTTGGTCTTGTTCCAGAACTTCAGTTTTGCATGCATATCGGTTTTACAGATTTGGCCTATTTATATGCAGACTGTTGGTGCTTCGCTCCTCAGGCAGAGGCACTTCGACCGATGGAAACCCAACTGTTGTTGCCTTTTAAGATATGCATGTTAGGGGAGAGCACCAGAGCCCAAATTGGCAATCACAGTGTGTCCAGTTGACAGGGGGTGCTGTAGGTCTGACCTGGGGCGCAGCTTCAGAAGGCTGCAATAATGAACTATTTAGTTGTGTTTGTTCTTAGTTCTCGCGGGAACTTCTGTGGCCCAGTAACTAGCACCCTTGCCGACCGGCCCGGTGGACATAGGCTCCAACCCTCTCCGACGCAGATTTTTAAAAGTGAACCCCAATTTACAATTACTAACCTAACATTGACCAAAAAAAAAATGCCATTGAAAGTAAAGGCAGCCGTCATGAGATTGACTTGATCCTTCTCCAAGTGACAATCAATGCAGTAAAATGGCGCTAGCACCGAATGCCCAGCACGACAGATGGCGTGGAGATGGGGGATATTTACAACCTGACCACGTCCATCGTCCTACTAACAAATACAGTTGTCGACTGATAGTGTCCAGATTTAAATAATAACTAATGCCCCAGCAACATTGTTCAAAATGTATCCAATGCAAGATCCAGTGGATGCAGTTGCTTTACGGATTAAGACAGTGAGCTTCAGGCAATCAACGAAATCTTCTAGGAGACACTTATCTTCTCAGTTTCACCTTGGCGGACACCAGCTATCAACTCTGGCGCCAGATTCTGGCTGGTCTTCCATTTCTGGAATTTAGTCTCGTTCCAGAACTTGAGTGTTGCCTACACAACCGTTTTACAGATACAGCATATTTGCAAACTGTTGGTTCCTCGTCTCTCAGGTTTATGCACTCCGACTTCCAAGGAACAACCCTTAATTAGTCATTTCATACGACATGCTTGTTGTGGTCAGTAGGTCTGCCCCCCCCCCCCCCCCAATGGGGCCGCGAACCCACACAGCCAACCGACTAGGCTTAACACTAGTAGGAAGAAATACTCGGAGAAGTAAAGACGGTATATAGACTTCAGCAATTACCGAATGCTGACTAGCCAACATAAAAAAGGACTCTTTCATTTAGTCTCTTTAAGGCGATCAAGAACAATACACTTAACTAAATTGTACTTATGTTGTCGTCATAGTCTTGCGGTCCCCCCCCCCCCCTCCCCCTCCCTACCCGCCACGTTAACAGTCACAATGCCCCCATGAGGAGTGTGGGCCCCACATTGGGAAACACTTGGCTAGAGGCTCGTCTGCCGGCGCGAGGTCTGGAGTTTCACTTTCGTAACTGAGGCGGAATTATTATTTGTCCTCTCCACAATTGACGCCTAGGTCCTTAAGCCTGAAACAGGTACCCTGTATGTTATAGGAAGTAAATGCGGCCGGCGTGGCGTTGCCAGTGTCAGTTACCGAGTACTGACTGGTTTATACAATATTACAATATATAATTCTAGTACCGCTCTGTGTGCTCGAGGGAAAGGGCCTTTTACATTGCACATAAACATAGGCAGACAAAAGATACATGGCCTTTTACATTGCACATAAACATAGGCAGACAAAAGATACATGACCTTTTACATTGTACATAAACATAGGCAGACAAAAGATACATGACCTTTTACATTGCACATAAACATAGGCAGACAAAAGATACATGACCTTTTACATTGCACATAAACATAGGCAGACAAAAGATACATGACCTTTTACATTGCACATAACTCTATAGGCAGACAAAAGATACATGACCTTTTTACATTGCACATAAACATAGGCAGACAAAAGATACATGACCTTTTACATTGCACATAAACATAGGCAGACAAAAGATACATGACCTTTTACATTGCACATAAACATAGGCAGACAAAAGATACATGACCTTTTACATTGTACATAAACATAGGCAGACAAAAGATAGATGGCCTTTTACATTGAACATAAACATAGGCAGACAAAAGATAGATGGCCTTTTACATTGTACATAAACATAGGCAGAAAAAAGATACATGGCCTTTTACATTGTACATAAACATAGGCAGACAGAAGATACATGTCCTAGACCAGTGTTTCCTAAAGTTTTCTTAGTCGCGGCGCCTTTTTTCAATGAAAATTTGTCCAAGGCGCCCTAACCTCAGTGAAAGTTTGACTATTCTTATGTTAAAGAAAAAAAAGAAAAAACTCTTGTATCATCTAATATTTAGCGGCGTCCTAACCTCAGTGAAAGTTTGACTATTCTTATGTTAAAGACAAAACAAAACTCTTGTATCTTCTGATATTTAGCGGCGTCTTAACCTCAGTGAAAGTTTGACTATTCTTATGTTAAAAACAAAACAAAACTCGTGTATCTTCTGATATTTAGCGGCGCCCCTGTAAAGAGGTCGCAGCTCCCCCATTGCGCCGCGGCGCACAGTTTTGGAATCACTGTCCTAGAGGTACTAAACAGACACTGGATGTCGGGCTTTAGAACCTAATTTATTTTATGTCAACCTGTAGGGCAACAGTGGCACGGTGAACCCTCCACCCCATACAGGGTTTGTATCGGTACCAGGAATTGCATCGTATTCTAAGAAACCAACAGAGGTTATTTCAGTCATGAAATTGCCACATCCTGCTTGACATTCTCCGGGCACTGAAAAACTACTTGTGAATTCTTGCTGGATTCAAACAACGAAATGTTCCTTACGGGTTAGCTGCTTATCCAAGTACTGAAAAACTAAATATGATTATTTCCTTTGTAGTGAAAACATGAAAAACTGCGCATTATAAATTAGCTATTCAAAAGCTACATAAGAAGATGCATGTCACAGACTGTCTCCAAACAGAAAAGACCGAGTTATTGCGTGTAACAAATTTGCTGCTAACAGAAAACATTGAATAAAAATGCGTGTCACAAATTTGCTCATAACCAAAACACCGAATAAAAATGCGTGTCCAAAGTTTGCTGTCAGTGAAAACAATGAATGGCCTGTCACAAGCTCATCTATAATCAGCGCAGCTATATTCTAGGTATATTAATGGTCTTGTTATTTATATCTAGTCGCAAGTCGGGTTGATTAAGATGGTCATTTCCGCTGACTGATTGTCAAGATAATCCCCCTGTCGAATTACCAATGATCTTTGAATTACCTCAGACGATAGGACGCAAAACGGATCAGCCCAGAAACATCAAATGGCGGCAAAAATATAGTATCTACGGACAATACAAACAAAACCAAGGACGGCCAGAAAAACACACCTGGCATTCAAGAGGCACTGTACAATTATGTAGAGAACGGACAAACAAAGTTTGTCTTGACAGGGTTTAGGAATTGAGCAACTGAGTTTTTGTGACATCTCCTTTCCCACAGTGTTTCATTTAAACATCTTTCAACAATGATATTTCATCATCGAAAACGACTAAATAGTAGAACAAGGAAGACACAAACAGTAGATGCACAATAAATTGTTCTATCCACTATTTGTGTCTTCTTTGTTCAAATTCACAACGTGGAAACTTCTTTGCTGAAATGTTAGTTACAAACGATGGGATATGGTCGACTTACTCTTACATTTATAATTATTACTAATTCTAAGTACACGTAAAGTGATAATAAGGGAATTATACCATATAATTGATATTCTTATTCTATATATATATATAGAGAGAGAGAAGAACACAGGCTTGATCCAAGACACAGGTGATTGCCTGAGATGGGGAACATAGAGCACCCAGACTTATCGAAATAGCGCACGATGAAGTGACACATCTCGTCTCTGCATTTCGGTGCTATCTAGAACCTGGGTTATATACATGTGTTATATACATGTGTTATGCATGTGTTATACATGTGTTATATACATGTGTTATATACATGTGTTATATACATGTGTTATATACATGTGTTATATACATGTGTTATATACATGTGTTATATACATGTGTTATGTGGACCATGAGCAGACAAGCTCAGAAACATTGACTGGCAGCGGACAAGCTCAGAAACATTGACTGGCAGCAGAGATGCGATTGTTGAGAAAAATGCAAGGAATATCGTGGAGCAGTACATCAACAAACGAGACAGTTCTTCTGGAGACAGTTCCCTCAGAGACAGTTCCCTCAGAGACACTTCTCATGGAGACAGTTCCCTCGGAGACAGTTCGCTCGGAGACAGTTCTCATAGAGACAGTTCCCTCGGAGACAGTTCCCTCGGAGACAGTTCCCTCGGAGACAGGTGACAACCGTAAACTAATCAGATACATTTGGATGTAGACAGTCGGGATGTTTCTCGGAAAGGGTATCAAATGGAATGGACTCAACAGTTGACAAGATTGCAGGATGAAAAGCAAATAGAAGGCGAAGGATGGCTTGCTCATGGGCGTAGGAGTGAGACAAGAACACTGACATGATCCCTGATTTATGATGATCATTATAGATGGCTTTACCTGACAGCTTACACTTATCGACACGATATTCCATGATGAATGTATCTCCTTTGTCCGATGTGTTCTCTAAAATCGACATCTTCATATCTTCTGTGAGTGCTTCTCAGTGTGCAGAAATTCTAATCCTGTGGCTGGCTAGCCTCTTCGCCTACCCACACTGTGATATGCGGGTTCGGTTCTCGAATGCTGCTAGGTTTGGTCTTTGTGTCTCTTCGGCTTTTGGATCCCAGACATCCTTGCCAAGTGTGTTTTCTCCATCTTTTCAATAATATTGTTGAATTAACTGATGACCCATTTCCCAGAGTTGTATATGACAGGAGCTAACACTTCACTGCCGTTAAAAAGTATCTATCTTTGTGTTTGACTATCTGTCTGTCTGTCTGTCTGTCTGTCTGTCTCTCTGTCTGTCTGTCTGTCTCTCTGTCTGACTTTCTGTCTGTCTAGAATTCCGCGTGTCTTCTCTTCTGGTCTGCCACCAAGTGTGCATGTCCGTGAACACACACGCAAACACACACATGCACACGCATACACGTATGTGCGCTGATGATAATATAAGTGTGTGGTGGAAATAATGACCCATAGATCGGTATTTATATCACTGATTCTATTGATCCCCCAAACAAGTAGAGAGGATGGGATTGTGATGCCGGCGCTGATCACATCCAGGCACGCTATCGCGGTGATTTAACATCAGTAGAGCAGCTAAACCACGGCTTGTCCCCCACATAAAAGTCAGACCTTCGGTTCGAGGTGAGCAGTCTGATTTCATTCTGAGAGCAGACGCCTCCGCCGAGTCAGTTTAGCAAACAGCCCTAACGACTAAGCTGGTTTAGTTCTGTGTCGGAACAGCGGCACGACATCTGGTCAATAGATGAGAGACATTGTAGCTAAACTTGGAACATTACTGTTGAGACACATTGTAGCGAAGCTTGGAACATTACTGTTGATACACATTGTAGCGAAACTTGGAACATCGCTGTAGGGACCCTCATAGGCGCTCAGCAAATTAGTGAAATCGGAATCTAAGTGTACACTTTCAGATGGAATATTCATACGTGGACACACTCATGGTATGTGTGTTTATACTGTCTTGTCTGTGCAGCCAGTTGTTACAAGGGTCCGGGGGGGGGGGGGAGTGGGCCGTTTGCTGTCGGTAGATGCGAAGAATGAATGAGTCAATGCAAAGTGCAGCATTGCATATCAGCCAGTGAAAAAACGAAGATAACATTGGAACTTTTTTGTTATTTAAAGTCTTTCTTGGTTTCTCCATTAACAAAGGCTATAACCGAAAAGTTCGCTTCTGACCTCTTGCTGAGCTTTGTAGCTGCATTTTTCTGCTCACTCCTTCTCTCCAGCGGTACATTAAACAAAAAATGCTTGTGTCAGATTCTTAAATAACGAAAATTACGAGTCGCATCCTTTTATAAATTTACTTTATAGTATTTTAAACAATAACAGTTTGTTTACTGTATTTGTAGAGTTTCTGAGCCGTCTAATTGTTCCTGTGAGTGTTTTAACAGTTTTCGTCAAAGTTCATTTTGGCATTTGTCGCAGTCCTACCAGGGAATACATGCCCAAGAATACATACATTGCAATGTCGCTGATCTGAGATGTATTTCGGTTCTCGTATTTCGTTTCTTGTTATGACTGAGATAGAGTGTTCAATTTGTTATCGTGGATATTGATTTCAGTCTGTTTGATTCTTCTTCTGCTTTACCTACTGCACACTTGAGCCCGCGCGAAACTCGACTCTGCTGAAAACTCATAAAAACTGAACAAAAAGTTGATTTGTTTGTGAGGACATTCTGAGGTTGTAATCAATAATGCTAGGATTGAACGAAGAAAAACAATGAAGCATAATCAACATTTCAACAAATGAGCCATACAGACTGAAATCATATACAGATTTTGTTTTAATTATGAAAACCTCGTTTACCTATCCACGACTGTTCGCTGTTGCTGCACGCTGAGCTGGTCATCTGGTCATCTGGTCATCTGTGTAACTTGTGTAGGTTTTTGAGCTAACTGTGTGCACTGATTGACTTCTCTGCAAGACAACCCGGCAGCTCAATTATGGGCGCACCAAGTTGTTTATTTTCTTCATTTTCTTCATGCACTGGAGTATTTTTGTTTACAAGTCGCTTCACAATAAATCTAGCGTTGTGACTGTGTATCAAGTTGTCACATCTATGCCTGCTCTATCAAGTTATCACATCCATGCCTGCTCTATCAAGTTGTCACATCCATGTCTGCTCTATCAAGTTGTCACATCTATGCCTGCTCTATCAAGTTGTCACATCCATGCCTGCTCTATCAAGTTGTCACATCCATGGCTATCTTATGAAGTTGTCACATCTATGCCTGCTCTATCAAGTTGTCACAGCCATGCCTGCTCTATCAAGTTGTCACATCCATGCCTGCTCTATCATGTTGTCTAATCCATGCCTGCCTTATCAACTTGGCTATTTATGGCTGCCTCATCCAGTGGTCTCATCCTTGGCTGTCTTATCAAGTTGTCTAATCCATGCCTGCCTCATCCAATAGATACAAGACCAAAAAACGGTCTGATGTCCACCACGAAGCTTACCGACCATGATGCCTGCCTCATCCAATAGATACAAGACCAAAAACGGTCTGATGTCCACCACGAAGCTTACCGACCATGATGCTTGCCTCACATTATCGTAAACCACTTGGCACTCAGTGCCCTATGGTCAGTCTCCCATCTGCAGCATTTACTTCCAAATACATTTCTTGAAAAGCGTTAATTGTCTTAAGCTGCTTACAGTCACAAGCATGTGTTTTAAACCTGATTTTCTGACGACTGTTTTCTGTTTAATCCACAGAACTGGAGCAACATGGAGAACTTCCTGTACCCAGAGAACACAGCCTACGACTCTGGCTTTCTGAATATCCCAAGCAGTAACTTCAACATGCCACAATCCCCATCTTTTGGCGCCGCAGACCGAACTGTTTCTGTCAGTGCTGTCACGCCCACAAGCCCCCACTACGGACCCATGTCTGTTGGTAGTCCCGGGTCGTCCAGGGGCAGCAGTTGTAGTCCAGATCCCCATGAAGCAATCTATGACGACCTCCTGGATCTTGACTTCATACTCAGCAACTCCATCGCCGGCCACATCTATAACGACACCAACAGCGCCCAGAAGATCAAGCAGGAGCCGTCTGGTGTGGTCAGTGAGGGTCTGCCAGACTTTTCTTCCACGTTTCTGGAGATCCCTGAGATTAAGTTTGACGATGATATGAACAACAACAACAGCAACATGCTGGCTTTAGATGGCGGTCAGATGTTCAACATCAGTAACATGAACAGATCACCGAGTCTCCACATCTCAAACAACGCAAATATGATGAGTCCACCGGGTTCTTTAATTGCACCCTCCGCATTGCATCACTCCCGTCAGCAACAAACTAATCACAGCCCTCATTCGACAACTGACTTCAAGATTCCAAAGCTTGAGCTTCCTCAGATGGTCCAGTCTTGTACATCGTACTCTGGGACTTTGACCGTGATCCCCGCAAACCAGTTATCTTCACAGACCCACCGTATGATCTTCCCTATGCACAACGGCCAACTGTCCCCTCCATCATCGCCAGAAAACCAAGACCTCAACATCCACAACTTCAAGATGGGTCAGCGTCCTATGTTCCCGATGGGTCACCCCACACCAGCAGATGGTCATGAGAACCCATCACATGATGAACAAGATCCCAGTTCCCCACCAGTCCTCTGCCCACGTGGGCACCCATTCTAACCCCCACCAGCTAATCACACCCCCATCGTCCCCACATCTTGACCACCTATTAATGACCCAGCTCTCAGGCGAGACACCTATTCAGCCAAAGAAACGAGGCAGGCACACCTGGGGACGGAAGCGACAGACCAGTCACTCATGTACTCACCCTGGCTGCAGCAAAACTTACACGAAAAGCTCCCACTTGAAGGCTCATCTGCGCACCCATACAGGAGAGAAACCCTACCACTGCACCTGGAAGGGATGTGGCTGGAAGTTCGCCCGCTCCGACGAGCTGACCCGGCACTACCGCAAGCACACCGGAGACCGGCCATTTCAGTGCCACCTGTGTGAGCGTGCCTTCTCGCGGAGTGACCACCTGTCCTTGCACATGAAGCGACACATATAGACATTGACAGATCTCTGCATTTCACGAAGACGCGAATCACTTGCAAATCATGACGCCGAATTTCTGGCAACAACTATTTGCAAACTATTCAGCAAAGCCGAAACAAATCTTTGACTGAATCCCAGGAGACCCTACAGCAAATCTTATGTACTACACTGGTAATTTGTTTGAAGTACTTGTTTTGCAGGTTTTTGGTTCTTGTAGACCATCAGACTCTGGCTTGCCAAATTGTCTACAGAATCAGAACAATCAAATCACATATTGTCTTACGGTGCTGTATTGTCTGAAAATTAGTTTTCCTGAAAGCATTGTTATTTGATCATGCTATTTGATCGACGTTACTGTTGTGCCAGATTTTGAACTTGCAGTCTGCCATCTATGTATTTAGTTTGGCGCGGCCAGATCAGGCAAATGGTGTCTGCTGACCTGCATGAACTGTAGTTCTATAACCCACCGCCTAATGACAGGTGACAGTACTGACCTGGCTGGTGTAGGCACATGATACTGCCCCCCTCCATGGCAGACTGGGTCTCCTGTCCCGCTTGAGCTATCCCGGACTCTAGAACGGGAGCCTAGTGGAGGTGACATGGCCGCTCCAGGTGTTTGTCTTTGTTTGTCATGTACATTGTTGTTATATGTGATGTTATTCAATAATTCACCCTGTTTATTTTTTCACCCTTCACATTCACCAAGTATCACAAGCTCACATTTGTATTCAGACGTAGAACCTGTTTCTTCCATGACGGAAGCTGAGATAATTTTTTGTTTGTTTTAGTCTCCCACTTAAATCCGTGATAATATCACTTGATATTGTTCGTCATAAATGACACAAACTGGAACTATAACATTGTAAAGTGTGTTAGAACATTTCTGACAATTGTATCCTGTCGGATTGCATACTGGCACACTAACTTCAAGGGACTCAATGAAATACTGTTCTTCTCAATGTTGCTTAGTCTGTCCTAGATGTAGAATCTCCCACCCGTTTCACCGCAGAAATTCAAATATACTCTTTTTTTTAAAAACACTTTGCCATTTAGTTTCTTGCCCTAAACTCATAACTTCTTACAGCGTTGGAACAACGCACTGGTTTATTGAAGCTCATTCTCACAGCAAAACATCTTTCCAAGACCACACAATGATTACATTTGTGCCGTTACTACATCACATTTGTACCAACACGACAACACAGTTGTACCAACACGACACCACAGTTGTACCAATACGACACCGCAGTTGTACCAACATGACACCACAGTTGAACCAACACGACACCACAGTTGTACCAACACCTAACCACAGTTGTACCAACACGACACCACAGTTGTACCAACACGACACCGCAGTTGTGTCCATGCTAGTAAGTCGTCTAGCACTAACAAATGAGTGCTGACTGCTGTCAGACTGTTCAGTAATGGTTCTGATGTTTACCATATATTACATTCAAACACTTTCCTTCTCTACTACATTCTCCTCCATCTTCGCCACCATCCTCCCGCCTCCTTTTTTTTTAGCTTCTTCTTCTGTTGCGCTTCTTTCTTAACATTATTATTTATATTGTTATTCTTATTTATTACATTGTATGTGTACATATTATTGCTGATAATATTCGTGCAGAAATGTGTTATGCTAGTTGGAGTGTAAATTTAACATCCAACATAGATCACGTGACTTAAGGCTAATGCCTTGTTCTAGGTGGTACTTCTGTGCTCCGATGTTGTACATATAAACCCCAATGCCTTAACAAATATATTGAACTATTTTCATATTTTACATGTAAACTTTTGCAATATTGTAAATACACAACCATATAGTTTTCAGTTAGACAAACTCAGAGAACGGTTCTTGTACCCTGGCTAGTTGACTTTTGATGCGAGCCTTTCATCAACACGAGTCGGCTAGAGTTCGCTGGGTCGCTTACAAATGACAGTGTCATCGGTTGGATAAAACTGTAAAACTGCCAATAATACAGAGTAGAAACCAGAGAGAAGCGTCAGGTTTACAAGAACATGATTAGAAGTGAAAGAGTGGACTCTTCGCTGTGAAAACTTCGTCAGCAAATGAAACTAATGACTATATATCAAATCTCAGCCCCTACCGAACAAGACTGAAGTATGACGAACGAAAAGAAGAAGAAGAAGAGAGAAGAATGAGACACCCACGCGCCAGGGAAGTAGCACAGGTTGGAAATCGTCAAAAGCAGGCTGTAATGACGACTTTCCTGGTAACATTTCACAAACGTCATATTTTTAGTATTATTTACTGGGGAGACGCTCAGACACTGAAAGAGCAAGAGAAATGTAGTCACTGGATATTGATTGGAACTTGTAGAAGCGAAGAAAAGAACGAGAGATTAAAGGAATTACTAGACAATATAATCATTAGGACATGTATAGTTTAAAATCGGTACCTTTTATTTTATATATCGTCTATTGTTTGTTTTTCTTCCCCATGTTTACTTTTACGGGACTGAGTCAGCATATGAGAATAGTAAGAGAATGTTCGAGGGTAAAAGAAGTCATCCAGTTTCAAACAGCGTGGCAAGAAATCGTATGTGTAAGCCAAAATGCTAAAATATCTTACGTTGCTGAACAAATTTCAAGAGGCATCCTCGAAAAGAAAGGACAAAAAACGAAATGTGCCCTTTCTATATAATTGATATCCATTACAACTGTACATTTGGTTCTCGTAAAATACCCACCTGACCTAAATATCTTTTAATTCAGCGGTACAGTATTTTCTCCATCGACTATACAAACATATGTGTTCTATTTGTTTTCAAACGATGCCATTGTTCCACATCTTTGTTGTCTCCAATGATTGCCTTCTGGAAAAGTCTACCTGAGGTCACCATTTTCTACATCCAGGTCACGATTTTGTGATTGTTTGATGCAAGTATTTTACAATAGCAATACATTTGTTATTCTTATTATGTGTATTAAAAGATCTATTGCCAGTTTGGCCTTGAGAAACGATGTCATTTATGTTTACACTGGTACTGGTTGCCAAGCTATAACTGGAATACTCAGACACCTAGCACGGACTGTGTGTAGTCAGAGATTGTCAGAGCATTGTGTGTGATTGAAGTATATGTGTGTGTGATTGCAGTAGCATTGTGTGTGATTGCGGTTACGTTGTGTGTGATTGCGGTTACATTGTGTATGATTGCGGTTGCATTGTGTATGATTGTAGCATCAATGTATGAATGCGAAGGATTACAGTGGGGACATCAATATCTGCTTTTACTGTATTATAGGGAATATTTTGTGATTACAGAACATGTAGGATTTGTTGGTGTCAGGTTTGTCACTGTATGTTGGGGTCAGGTTTGTCACTGTATGTTGGTGTCAGGTTTGCCACTGTATGTTGGTGTCAGGTTTGCCACTGTATGTTGGTGTCAAGTTTGCCACTGTATGTTGGTGTCAGGTTTGCCACTGTATGTTTGTGTTGTCCGTATAATTCCTTATAATTTGATTGTATGATCGCTACAGAAGGATGTTGATGGTAGCTATGAAAGGATGTATGGATTTCAAACATGAAAAGATGTGGTAGTCATAAAAAGATGTGTGGATGGTATGCATGAAAGTATGTTTGGATAGAAAGGACAGTGTTGTTCACAAACATATGTGTCGTTATGAATGACAACCTGAACTATTCGTACGGTTGGTATGTGTATGTGCTGCGTGGTTGCAACCATAAATACGTATGATTATAAGGATTGCATGTTTGACAACCAGGAATATCATCTATAGGGGCTGCGTGGTTGACAGCCAGGAATATCATCTATAGGGGCTGCGTGGTTGACAGGTATAAAGGAATATGACGTAAGACTGAATGATGACATTGGAAATTTTAATATCACCTTTTTATGCTACAAGCGCATCACATAGAGATATGTTTTATTAGTACATGTCTCAGTTCACATCACACATATATGTTCATAGTTGAGTTTACGATGGTAACATACATGAACTAATGTGCCATATTTAATATTTGTATAATATCACACAGATCACTTGCTTGTACACGTTATGTGTTTACTTCTCTGCACCGAATTTGTCATTTACTTGTGAAGACAACCAATGTCATGTTCTGTCATGGCAGTGTCAGGGCGTTAGCTCTTGTATCTTTAGGACACAGTTGTATGAGATTGGGAAGTCAGTTCCTTTCCTTAATTCTTCTTTTGGCATCAGAATCCCATAATTCTGTTTACAGAATCTTGTGTATCCACATTCTCAGCCTGGCTATCCATAGAGCTGAGCTGTTGGAGACAAGGCATCTCTGTCTCTGCTCCAAGTGGAATCGGGACCACCTGATGTCTCGGCTTCTTCCATGGGTTTTCTGGTCTATGCCCGAGTATACAAGTTTCTAAACAAATACCCCTCCCCCTGTTCCAGGGAGTACATTTGTGGACATGCGTTCCTAATGTGTGGCAGGACATTCCTGGGATCATTGGCCCAAGCTGTCGGTCTTCAGAGGTCTCCCATGGCCGCCTATATTATCTGCTGCCAACTGGCATGGGGCACTGGATTTGTTACCGTCTGATCTAAAAAAAAGAATTTAGTTCCTTACTCTACATAATGTGACTTCAATGTCCAAGTCTACTGGTGGATTGCCAAGGTGACCACACGACCATAGGGTGCTCTATATATAGAGGAGGACAGATTCAAATGGACAGTACGGTACACACACACAATCACACAGACCCGTACAGAGTTGGATGAAGAAATATGAAACAGTGATACTCACACACATGCGCGCGCACATACACAGGTAGAAAAGGAAAAATGAAGACGAATCCAGTGATACCTCTCACATACAGTCGGCTTTGTCCATTTGAACTCATATTCCAAAGGCATAGATAAAACACATTGAACCATTTCATCATTTTTCATATTTGATCTACCATCCGAGTGCTGTATAAAATATATTTTCATGTTTTGTTGGTTTTAATTCTTCCAAACATTGTGATCCCAGGCTGTCCCTCCCTTGATCTTTACTGTTTATTTTATCATGTAAATTTGACTGTTTCTGTCACCACTAGTCATGCTTGTATACCGTGCCATCATTATTACCATGCTGTGTGAATTAACCAATCACAGCCTGGCTTACTTCTAGCGCTGGCGCTATCCTCCCACATTTGCATGTATCCACGTCATACGTGAACACAATAAAAATCACTCATTTAATCTTGTTCTCTCATGTTTTTATTTTGATTGTTTGCTAGTACTGTTTTTAATTAATGCGTAATTCGTCCTCTAAAACGCATGAATGTTTTCGGAACATCGTAAAAGACAGACAGATGATCCTGCGTCTCAATTTTCTTTGTTGTAGATACAACACAATATGGCCAACCAATCAGACCACTTCTTCGATAAAAGTCGGTCGTGTTCTAGATAGAAGAATAAGAAACAAAATTAAACCAGAAATCAGCGATGAACAATGTGGATTTGTAGAAGGAAAAGGTACAAACAATGCCATATACATCCTAAGGACATTGTCAGAAAGAGCTATAGAAGAAAAGAATGATTTGTACATATGCTTCATAGACTATACAAAAGCATTTGACTGTGTGAAGCATGAAGAAGTAATCAAACTGTTAGAAAAATTAAACATTGATGGGAAAGATCTACGAATAATAAAGAATATGTATTGGCAGCAAACAGCAGCTATAAGAATTAACAACTGTTTAGGTACATTTCAAAGCATAAAGAGGGGCGTACGACAAGGATGTGTACAGTCACCTGATTTGTTTTCAATATACAGTGAATATATAATGAGAGCTTTAATTGGTATGCCCGGAATTGTGGTTGGTGGGCACAATATAAACAATTTACGTTATGCTGATGACACAGTCTTGATAGCAACAAGTCAGAAAGAACTACAGGAAATGATAGACATTGTGGTGTTAGAAAGTGGAAGAATGGGCCTCAGTTTGAATAATGGGAAGACAGAAGTAATGGTGGTATCAAAGAAACGAATTATTCCTAAATGTGTAATAAAAGTTGTTATTTTAGGACAAGTACAGAAATTTAAGTATCTGGGCTTATGGATAACATCAGATGGAAGATGCATAACTGAGATAAGAAACAGAATAGGACAGGCAAAAACTGCATTTTAAAAAATGGAAAACATCTTGTGCAATATATCCTTGTCATTGAGAGTTCAAAAAAGAATTCTTGCTCGCTACATACATCCAGTTTTAACATATGGATGTGAGTCCTGGACAATCGGTAGGTAGGCCAAACAATTTCTGGAGGCCTCGGAGATGTGGTTTTACAGAAGAATGCTTAGAATACTTTGGACAGCCAAAAAGAGCAACCAAGAGGTTTTGAAAGAGGCGGGAGCCCGAAGGCAACTTATCACAGATATCAG